ACTTGCATTTTATTTTTCCAGCATCTGTGAGTGAGCGCTTATCCCCCCACTTAACCAAATGAAGTCGCTCGAGGTTCACGGCCGACTTCTCCACGGAACACCTCAGGTAGCTCCAGCGAGGCGCGATGCAGGAAGCGCATCCCGTGAGGTGCGCCGGGGACCGGCTGGCCACCGGCGGGAGGGGAGACGGCAATAGCTGCAGAATTGCGGGTTAGCAGGGCAGCCTGTTGTTAATCAATTAAACATGCAGCTAATAATAATAAAAAAAAATACACTCGGAGAAACCGTTTCAATAGCCTCAAAATGCCGTATTGGAACTACAGTCAAGTACCGGGATGCGTACAGTGTCTGAAGCAATCCGAGCTTTCCATTTGCTTTTTCTGCGTGATTTTTTATTTCTTTCCCTTCCTCCCCACCTCTTCTGTACATACCAGTTTACCCCTGCCCCTGCACGCAGCAGTAGAGATCTGGCCACCAGACATACCGGATTAATTCCTATCCAGATCTATCAGCTGGCCTGTAGAAGAGGCGATCCTTAAAAAAGCAGGTGAGGGGGAGGAGGTTAACACCAACAGGTATTTCTTGTCATTAACTCCCGGCTTCCTGATAAGAAAGTGATAAACAACTGGTAAACTCAGTGCAACAGATTACAGAAAAGACATTTGCTTCCCTGCTTGGTGATTAATGCGCATATATTAAATAAAAATAGAAACTCTAAAAACAAGAGCTTTATATAAAACACATTCATATTTCAGTAGTTCTATGAAATAATCGATATCATGCGATTACATCTGAATAGTCAATTCCTGTGTTCCGCAGACCGATTTCTAAGTATATGAGCTCTGCTTCTGAACGGAGCAGCAGCTGGAGAGCTGAGAATGCAAAATTAATTATAACATTATAAAGTCATACATGAATCTCTCTAAGTCAACCTGCATGCCTTGCAAAATGTGCTATACTCTCTGCATTTTTATTTGGGGATGCCCAGTCTGTTCTTTTCCAGCAGGAGTGGTGTAAGTAAGTGTTTATCTACGCGAATTGATTGCTTTTAGTTCCTCCTCTTTAATAATTAGTGGAACAATACAGATTGGGAATACAATGGCCGTTGTGTTTACATTATAACAAGGGATTAATGCTATTAAGTGAGTGTTACAGTTATGACCTGGGAAGAGTACTTAAATAAATACCGTGATCCCAGGAGAATTGATATAATTCAGTTCAGAGTGTGTGTAGATACGCACAGACACACACGCACACACGAGAGATACAAATCTCCATATATATCTACACTCATATACATATGTTATACACGCTAGGTATACGTGCCCGTCCGTGTAAAATGTAGGTGCTGTTTTTACCTCCATCTGCATGTCTTTCCTCTATGAAAATACGTTTCTGTTATTTCGGTAGGAGGAATGTTTAAATCAGGAACATTACTCCCCTTCCCCCAAACACAAAGAGCAACAGATTATATTTCTGATGTTTCAATTTGTGCAGTCCAAAAATATTGTTTTATATACAGAAACGGGGTTAATTTCGCAATCAGAGATTAATGGAGTAAAATATTATCATTTCAAAAGACAAGTTCTTGCGTTGATTTGATTTGCATAATTTTTGTATGGCTTCAGAAAGGAATGGATTTCCCAATGCAAGGAGACAGTATGCATTTTATTACAACAAGTACACCGCTAATTTGATTCTGCACAATGTGGAGAACGAATAGCTAGCGGGGTCATTTAAATATAGCTGGCGAAGTCTTTGCGATAAACAAGCCAGAAAACCGTGTCAATAACGTTTTTAAATATCGGTCAGTGTGCGTGGCTGTATTTAACTTCTTCTCGGAGTTATCTCTGTTTGATTTGAACGCCTTTCGCAAGGAAGAGGTTTTTCATCTGCCTGGCTCCACCGCCGAAATCTAATTTTCCCATAGTACTACCCGTTGCTAATAAAAAGCCGTCTAACTTGCGCTCTTAAACAGTAGAATAGTATTACATGCACCTTTTATTGGTAATAACTGTGGCAAATTAACATGCCTACACAGAGACATTAAGACTTTACACACTGCGTTTTTATTTGAATAATCTATTCATTAGTTCAGCTTTTACCTTCCCAGATTTTAAGCGCTGCTCTCGCCTTGTCTTCTTTAATTCAGTTTGCTTCAGCAGAGTTGAGAAGGTAGTCGAGACACCCCTCCACCCAACCCCCCCTCCCCAATTCATCCACCCCCCCGTGACCCTTTTCCGCGATCGCTCATTGCCGTCCTGGGAGACAGGTTTTGCGGTTTGTCATTTATTAGCTACATCTCCTTGCGCTAGTGACACAGGCTGAAGTTTTCGGGCGTTTTCATTAGGCGCTCAGGCGTCTGCCTGCTGCTGGCCACTCGCCCGGGGACCCCGCTCCCTTCCGTTTAACCCAGGTAAAAGAGAAAAAAAAAAACCCAAAGAAAAAAAATATAAATAAAAATGTCGTTGGGGTGAAGGAGAGCTGTCCCCGCCTGAGGAGGGCTCCCTGCGGCCCGGAGAGCCACACACGCCTGTCACCCGGACAATGCCAATGGCCCAATTGTCGTGACACCGGCCACCACAGCAACTTTTTTTTTTTTTTTTTTTTTTTTTCTTTTAAGCAGAGCGAAGTGGAACTTGGTGGGGTTTGGAGATGTAACACAATGCGCAGCAGAAACGGTTTCCTGTGACATAACCACACAATGGTCTGGGAATGCTTTCTCCTTTCTCTCATGAAATGGGGGACCGCCACCATCTCCCGGAGACAGGGACGTGAAATAATAGACTATTGTATTTAAAAATAACAAACGACACACGCACACTGTGCAAGCGGAGTTGTCCAGTTTTCTAGTAAAAGGAGCCGAGTTCGTTACAAGGCTCTTTTCCGAGCGAGGTGCTTTGCAGGAGCGACCTGTGCCACCGAGGGGACCCGGGGTGAGCCGGGCGAGCCGTTCTGCCCTAAGATCTGTTCGGAGGGTTAAAGCAAAGAGCGGGGGAAAACCAGCAAGGGAGAAAGGAAAAGAAAGAACTTTTCTTTCCCCATCTTCAGGATGAAATCGTTAGTTCAAGCCGTGTGTGGGAGGGGGCGCTGTGGCAATGAATTCTCCGGCGCTCCCGAGCACTGCCAGCGGAATTGTTTATGTAAGCTCCTTCCCTGAGGTTTCTTTTCATATTTCAGTCATTACTTTTATTAACAGTGTTATCTAGCTGTCGCCCCGTGATACCTGCACTAAAAGGTGGACTGTTCGCATGAGTTATGGTTACTTCTTTTCCCCTTATCACAATTTTCTTTCTTTTTTCCTTTTTTTTTCTTTTTCCATTTTCAGTTCGGTAAAAGCGGAATAGTGTATTTCATTTTCAAAATACACTGCAAGAAGGGTCTGCCGAGGGGAGCGCTGAGAATATAGACGACTCTCTATAACACGCAAACGAGCACAAATAGACACATATGAAACGTACCCCTTGTCTGCAGCTTATTTTTATTTATTTATTTATTTATTTCCCCCCCCAGGGCGTCTGTGGCTTCTACATTTTGCACTAATAACGGGCCATGACTTTATGAGGATTTAGTATTTAGGAGAATGTTAAAAATAAAAAGAAAAAACTAAAGCGGATCTCTAAAAAGTAGATCTGAGGCTTAGAAAAGTTGCTTCCCATACGTCACGCTGTTATTAAGAGTCTTAGTCATTTTCTGCTTAGGGAAATGTAAGCAAATATGTATCCCTAAGTATAAGATAAAAGACCTCCAAAGCTTTCCTGGAGCCTGCTATTTTCACCTGAAAGGCAGTGTTACTCAGAGAGAGAACAAGTGTCCGATCCACAGGTGGGATAGTTCCTCCTTCTTCGGGGGAAAGGGAAAAAATAAAA